TTCAGTCGTAACAACGTGAGTGAGGAAATTCGAGTAGTTTTGACCGAGGAAGCAAAATTTGAATATCAGACACTTCGGTGCAAGATTATGCCAAAATTTTATGAAATATATATGGAAACCAACAGTTAGGATAAATGCGCTAGTGAGCCATTTTCCCCTCAAGCCAGAACCGATTTTCTAGTCCTTCACACAACGAGATAGGAATACGAGGCAACCAGTTAATCAAAACTCTGCATAACCTATAAACTCATTTATGTTAGTTCCTTTCTTTCCTTCAAAACAGATTTGTTTTGTTTGAACATACGTTGCGAAACACTGGAAAATGCCTTTAATCATATTAACAGGTGTACCGTGTAGTGGGAAAACAACCCGAGCAGATGAGCTAAAACTATTCTTCGAGGAACAAGGCAAACAGGTGCATATTATCAGCGAGTGTGATCAAATAGGGAAAGCTGGTTTTGATAAAAACGACTTCTATGCTGACTCCAACAAAGAAAAGCACATTAGAGGGCTACTCAAAAGCGAAATGCTCAAACTGATTTCGCCTGCAAACGTTGTCATTCTCGATGCCCTGAACTACATCAAAGGGTATCGGTATGAGTTATTTTGTGGAACTAAAACGAACAGGAGCACCCAATGCACCATACATACAGAAATAAACAGAGAGCAAGCATGGACTTTTAATGAGAATAGGCCGAATGTACAAGAGAAGTATAATAGAGCGATGTTTGATGCTCTCGTGATGAGGTAAATGTTGAGTTCTTCATATGTATATGCTATACCTACTTTGACTACTCTACAATATCTAGACATCAAGGACTAGTAGACTAATCGGCCTTTTTCTAGATACGAAGACCCAGATGGCAAAAACAGATGGGATAGTCCCCTCTTTACTGTTTATCCAGAAACAGACATAGACAAACCAGCTATTTATTCCAGTCTGTTCAAAAAGGCCCCTCCGAAGCCAAACCTATCCACTCAAAATGCCCCTTTAAGCTCCACCAATTACCTGTATGACTTGGATCGGATCACTAAAAGCATTACTGATCTTCTTATAGCGGCTAAAAACAATGGTACTGAAGGACAGTTGGCAGTTCCTGGAAGTACTGAATCTATGGATGTTCCTCAAGTCAGTGTGCATCAGCTGGTGTTGTTGAGGAGGCAGTACATCACCTACTCAAAAATGCATACGCCTGATGTGGACAGAATTCCCGACTTGTTTGTACAGTATTTAAGAACTAGTTTACAACAGAGTTAGTTGCGACTGTAGTAACTTCTTTTTTGCTGAGGTTTTTGTATATGTACATATAGTTCAGTGTTTTATTGTATTCAATCTCGACAATTAACAATGTTATTTTGACTATGAAGGCTTTCACGGCCGGTTAAGTTACATTTAGGAATGTTTTCCGGGCTTTGAAGCCGCCAAGGTCTATTGGAATTTCTTCCCGACGTTTCGTCCACAACTGCGCTGGACATTTTCAAAGGCGATGAGGCAGTGGGCGAAGTGATCTCCCGTGCTTTCCGACTAAGACTGGTTCAACC